CGCGATCCATCGAGGCACCTGCCGACAGCGGACTCCAGCTGCGCCACGACGCCCGCGGGGGCCGCCTGCGGGCGGGCAGCCGCGCGCTGTCTCGGGAGGCGCGGGGGCCGCTGAGGGGGAGGACGCGGGTGAAAAGGGGGAGGAAAAGGGGAGTTGGAAAGGGGGCCAGAGGGCGGGGGAAGGATGGGGGGAGGGGGAGAAGCGAGATACGGAGGGGATGTGAGGAGGAGGAGGAGGAGGAGGAGGAGGAGGAGGAGGAGGAGGAGGAGGAGGAGGAGGAGGGGGAGAGGAAGAGGAGGAGGAGAGGAGGAGGAGGAGAGGCGGAGGAGGCGGAGGAGAGGAGGCGGAGGTGGAGGAGGAGGAGGAGGAGGAGGCAGGGAGGGGGAGGGAGAGAGGGAGTAGAGCGGAAGATAGCAGGAAGACGACAGGAGGAGAAGGATGAGAGCATGAGGGAAAGAAGAGCGGAGGGCGAGGAGGAGGAGGAGGAGGAAGGAGGAGGAGGAGAGGAGGGGGAGGGAGGGGGAGGGGAGGGGGAAGGGGGAGGAGAGAGAAGGAGGAGGCGGAGGAGGAAGAGGGAGAGAGAGAGAGAGGAGGAAAGAGAGGGAGGGGAAAGAGGAGGAGGAGGAGGATAATACTGACGCCTGTCGAGGGGGCTCCCAGCGGCCAGCCCAATAGAGAAGAGGATGCGGAGTCCACCCGCGCCGCCCGCGCGCGGGCGGGCGGGCTGGCGCCTCCTCGCGGCGAGCGGCAGCGGCCACGCCGTGCGCCGCCCTCAGGGACCAGAACGGGCCTCCGGCAAGGGGCGCGCGCGCGCGCGCGGGCGGCTGGGCGCGGCCAGGCGGCTCGGCGCGGCCAGCTGTGGACGCCGGCCGGGCTTGCAGCGAAGCCGAGGCCGACGGGAGCCGGCGGGTCGCGAGCAGCCGAGGGAGGGCCCGAGCGGCGCAGCAACAGCTCCACGGCCTCCTCGCCTCCCTCCTCTCTCCTCTCCTCCTCTCATCTCCTCCTCCTCCTCCTCCTCCTCCTCCTCCTCCTCCTCCTCCTCCTCCTCCTCCTCCTGCTTCTCCCTCCTCCTCCTCCCCTCCTCCTCCTCCTCCTCCTCCTCCTCCTCCTCCTCCTCCTCCTCCTCCTCCTCCTCCTCCTCCTCCACGGTCGGTCGGTCGGTCGGTCGGTCGGTCGGACTGCAGGCCGTTGCAAATCGTGGCTTCTTCTGGGGGAGGCAGAGAAGCAACGGAGGGCGCCCGCCGTGGGACTGCCCATTCCATGCAGTGGTCGTCGTGACATCAGGGGCCCCATCCAGCTCCCACACTGCAAACAACAGAGGATGGAACACACAGCTCAAGACAAGTACGGATCAAGGGGCCTCCAGAAAGCTTCCCACTCAGGAGTCCCCAACTCACAGCAGTCATCCCTCCACTCCCTTCCTAACATACCATCCAATCAGTGAAAGTGCCAAGAATCTTCGACTGCCAACACTGCGTCCAATCATTTCTCGCCATGGCCAGCTTGCCAAAGGTTCGCAGCCGCCCTAACCAACCTCATCGTCGGTCACAAGAACCAGATGGAGGACAGAGCCAGTCAGAAAAGCCGGCTAGGTCCCGATGCGCAAGCTCTGAGCGTAACTGGGGACGGAAGGGGAAAGGAAAAAACAAGGAAGACAAATTTTGATAAGTGTACTTATGGTGTGCCGCTCTCGTGGCCACGATCGAGAAGCAGGCTGAGACTTGCAGCCACGCGGCCGCGGCTGGACTTGTAGCTCGGCTGCGGCTGGGAGGGGGCCCCCCGTCTCCATCCCAGGTAATCTATCCTCCAGCTCGGGCCAAGTCCTGCGCCGGCACCGGGAAGGGATCCAACACACGAGCCCTCCCCCAGACGCGCAGCAGCGCCCTGCCCCTGGCGTGCAGAGCCTCTTTCTGATGAGGAGCCCATGGGCCCACGGAGGAGAATCAAGGAAATGATCCCGGCGCGACGCCAATGACTTAATTACGGGAGTTCCTTTTGAAAATGCTCGGGGGCGACTACGGGGGCGCATAGCCCAGGGGAGAGCAATACATGCATCCAGGGGCGCCAATGGTCCATGCCGTCGGCGAGGCTCCCGGGCGAATACGTGCAAAGCCCGCCCCTGGGCTATTCGCTCCTATCGTCGCCCCCGAAATGAACCTGGAGCGAACTCGACAAAATGAACCCGGCGCGCCCGTGCAACTGAAATCCGTAATAAGCTCGGAGTGCCAGCGCAGCTTCGAGGGTGGAGGGAAGAAGAGGGGGTGATAGAAAGATGCGGTAGATTTCGCGTGCAGCGTGGTCACCCAGGGCGGGGAACCCGAGGAACCCGAAGAACCTCCGAGGAACGGGCAATGTAAGAATATGAGACCGGAAAAAACAAAAAAAAAAACAATCAGGGCTATAGGGCTAGGGGGCTATAGGGCTATAGGGATATTGAGCTATAGGGCTATAGAGCTGCAGGGCTATAGAGCTGTAGGGCTATAAGGCTATAGGGCTATTGGGCTATAGGGCTATAGGGCTATAGGGCACCCCCGGCACCTGGGCACCCCCGGGCACGCCTGGGCACCCGGGCGCACCCGGGCACCCGGGCACCCGGGCACTTGGGCACCCCGGGGCACCCGGGCACCCGGGCGTGCGGCGAAAATCGGCGGCAAACCTAACCTAACCATATGAATCCGCTAGGACCCCTACAGAGGCAAGCTCTGATTGGGGAACGAAGCATCAAAGGCGGGGAACCCGAGGAACCCAGGGATCCCGATGAACCTCCGAGGAACGGGTCCAGTAAGAATACGAGGCACCGACCTTTCAAAAACCAAGCAAGGACCCCTTAGGCAAGCCTACTTGGGGAAAAACTGTGGTCCGTTCTTGGAGCCAACAATAATCCATGGAATTTCCACCTTCTTGGCGGCCAGCAAGAACGCCACAGCACTCATCAAGCATCCGGTCTCGATGCTAGATTCACTTCTCTCAGCTCCATTCAGACTGCAAGCCCCCCAGGGCCACCCCCAGCGCCTCGCAACGAACCTCAAGGACCTTTCCCTGGAAGGGGCCCCTCTAATCCAGGGCATCAAACCAGAAGGCTCCACCAGCAATTTCCCCCATCAGCACTTTCTGGGACCAGCTCTCACTATCCCAGCTATCCCACCCTTGGTGAGACACGTCGGTGGGCGCCCTGGAGCTTGGCAAGTGTCCAGGCGAGCGCGACAGCCTGGCACCAACTCCAGGTGCTCTGCGCTGGCTTCGCCGACTCCGCAGGAAAGCAGCACCAGGACGTAGAAGGCAGGGTGCTGATGGGTCCGGAGAAAGGACCGCGTACCCGCTCGATGGCCATGGCGACGGCTTGGAGCCGCGGCGGGATATGGGGTGCTCCGGAAAGGAGCCCGCAGGTTGCGCAGGCTCGTCCGCCCAGCCGCGGCAGCAGGGGCACCACGCAGCGCCAGGGGTGTCTGCGGCAGGCGAGAGCCACGTGGGGCCAGCGCCGCAATGACAGAGTGGGCCCCGGCGGGGGCGGCGCTCGGGGCCCGCGTGACTGGGGGATCTGTCGCCCTCGCCCGAGCTCCGTGCGCATGTCGCTCGCAAGTGGCGTTCCCGCGCGGGCGCGGCGCATGGCTCGTTCGCCGAGGCGCACGAGAGCGACAGGTGCCGCGGGGCCGCGCGGGAGCAGGCGAAATGCCGACCTCGCCCAGGCGCCGCGCAGTCTGTCGGTGAGAGTGGCAAGGCTGCACCAGCGCGGAGCATGCTTCCTCTTCGCCGCCCACACTGGAAACTGTGCCGTTCTGGTCTCTGCGCGGCCAAGTCGTCAGAAATGGAGCCGCGCGCGACCGCATTCCGTTTGCGACGCGGGAACGCGCTCGAATCCCAATACCAAATTGCACCACAAGGGGTGATTCTCATGTTGCAGGAGGGTGGGTGGGAGTCGACGGGGCCCCTTGACTCGCTCGACCTGGCAAATTTGACCCCATTCCACTCCGACTGTACTCTCCGTGAACGTACAGTCATCTACGTTTCTCTGCTATACTACTATGGGTTCGGCGATAAAAAGGGGCCCGCTGCAAAATGACAATTTCGAAAACACGATGGTAGCCAGTGTTTCTCAGACCCCTCACCCTCTTTCCATTCAGAATCCCCTTACGGAGCAAGGTCCATCAAAACCCGAAGAGAAAAAACGCACACAACAGAAGACAAATCCTGAGGGACCCCCCACCCAGCCCCCCCCCCGCCACACCCCTGAAAGTTCCCCAGGATTGTGGTTTGTTGTTTGTTGCTTTGTGTTGTTGTTTTTGTTGCTTTGTTCCTAGGGTGTTGCTTGATTCTACCCGTGATTCAATTATTCGATTCTGATTGGGGGGGGGTGGAAGAGGAGGAGGAAGAGGAGGACGGAGGAGGAGGGGAAGGAGGAGGAGGAGAAGCAGCAGCAGCAGGAAGAGGAGTAGGAGAAGGAGGAGGACGATGAGGAGGAGGCGGCGGACAACCAGGAGAACTGTTCGAATCACCTCCCCCTCCTCCTCCCCACCTCCTTCTACCACTCACCCTTCTCCCCCTTGCTCACCATCCTCTGCCACCCTCCCTCGATCATGTTTATGGGATGTATATATATATATATATATATATATATATATATATATATATATATATATATATAACCACGCCGCACCTGGCCCGGGGGCCCCGGGGCCGCAGCCTCGACCACAAATAGGGGGACGTCGGGCCCCTAAGAGGCCCCCAAGAGGCCCCAAGGGGCCCCCAAGATGCCCGCGGCAGGCCCAAAGGGCCTCCAGAGGCCCCCCAAGAGGCTTCCAAGAGGCTCCCCGAGGTTCCCCAGAAACCTTCATGTACGTCTACATGCGGCCTCCGGTCCAAAAACCTGAGACCGTTCCTGGGACGCCGCCGGGGCCGCCGGGCTCCAACAGCCAATTGAGGAAGCACGGAGAACCCCCCAGAAGCCCTTCAGACGCCCCCACGAAGACCCAAGAGGTTCCCAAGAGGCCCTCAGGAGGCACGACTGTGTCACGCGCCTGTGCTTGATAGCGCTGTCCAAGATCTTCTAGCGCGCCCCCGGCCTGGGCTAGAACCTGAGCGCGCACGAAGCGCGCTCGATGGTTCTAGTGTTGATATAATGATGAGGAGGTGAAGGAAGAGGAGCGATACGTTTGGCAACGGACGAGGATTAGCAAGCTGAGGAGGAGGATGCTGAGGAACCACGCATCCTCATCGCCATCCTGCTCCCATCGCCCCTCCTCCTTCCCTTCATCCTTGTATACAGCATGCCCATCATCTCCGCATCTGTCCCAAGAGAGGAGGCCGAGGAGAAGGGAAAGTGCCAGGAGGAAACAGGGGAGGACTGTGAGGAGGAGGAGGATCAGGAGAAGGAGCAGGAGGATGAGGAGGTTGACGACTCACTCTTCAACGGTTTGGAAACACCAACGGGGACCAGCGTTTTCAAGGTTTCACTCCTGGCCGAGAAAGTGCGCGGGTGAGTGAATGCTATATATATATACACATGAGAGCCCTCCAACACCCGTTCTTACCAACATTCGCTTACGACTGTGGTGCTCTTCCGTTCCTCCTCCCCCTCCTCCTCGCCTCTCTCTCTCCCTCTCTCGTTCTCTCTCCCTCCCGCTCTCGCTCTCTCTCTCTCTCTCTCGCTCTTTTTCTCTCTCTCTCTCTCTCTCTCTCGCTCTCTCTCTATATATATATACATATGTGTATATATACAGATACAGATCACTGTATCTTTCTCTCTCTCTCTCTCTCCCCCTCTGTATTTCTCTGTCTGTCTCTTTCTCTCTC